AGCAATCTACAGATTCAGTGCCATCCTCATCAAAATTCTTCACATAAATTGAAAAAAATCTTTCATATGGAACTACAAAAGACCTAATATTCTGACTCTGATAGAGGAGAAAGAAGGAAATATGCTTAAACTCATTGGCGTAAGAGTTTTCTGAACAGGAAGGGCCCTGATAGCTTAGGCATTACAATCAACAATTAATAAATGGAACCTCAGGAAATTAAAATTTCTATGTGGAAAAGAATACCATAATTCAGGAAGAGAGGCAGATTTCAGAATGGGAAAAAAACTTTATCAGCAACACAGAAGGTTAATATTTAGAATATATACAGAATTGGGGGAAAAAAAAAACAAGAACAAGAAAACAACCCAATTAAAAATAGGGCACAGAGCTAAACAGTTTTCAAAAAATGAAATACAAATGACCAAGAAACAGTTAAAAATGTTCAACATCCTCAGGTATCAAGGAATTGTAAATTCAAACTTCTTTGAGATTTCATCTCACCCTAGTCAGATTGGCGAAGGAGGAGGAGGAGAAGGAGGAGGTGGAGGAAAGAAAAACAATCGGTGGTATGGCTGTTATGGATGACGGATGTGGGAAGGGGAGAATACTGATTTGCTGCTGTTGGGAGTGTAAACTGGCACATTCATGACAGAAATCAGTGTGGAGGGTTCTTAAAAACGCAAAAACAAGTCTACCTTATGGTCTAGTTAGAGCACTCTTGAGAATATACTCCAAGTACTCCATACCCTGCTCTAGAGTTACTGCTCATCCATGTTCATTGCTGCTTTATTCACAAGAACAAGGAATGGAAACAGCCTAATCATGTAGTATACTATGGATTACACATAATTACACACATGTAATACTACTCAGCTATTAAGAAAAATGAAATTTTCAAGTAAGTGGACGGAGCTTGAAACAATCCTTCTGAGTGAGGTGCCACAGAAAGACAAACTTCACATTTTTTCTCATATGTAGATGTTAGCTTTGAAGCATCAGGTAGGTGTGTGCCATTTGGAATACCCATAGAGACCAGAAAATTAAGGAGCCATGAGGGAGGGGCTTTAAAGAAAAAGGAGACAGAACAGACTATTACAAAGAGGTAAAAGAGATGAATGGAACAGGAAGAGTTATACTGGGGTTTGGGAGTACAGGGTAGGGTAGAGGAGGGAGTATGGGAAGGGGCAAACCAATGACTTAAAAAATATACATGGATACCTACACACACACACACACACACACACACACACACACACACACACACGCACGCACACACACTGCAAAGATCACTGTAGAAGAGAGGAGAGGAAAAAGTCTAAAAATTAGAGGTGGTGGATAACTACTACAAGGAAATATTAACTTCTGCACATACCAGGGCAGCTTCACACACAAACTCAAAAGGAAAAAAAAAAGGAACCAATATATTTCATCAAAGAATACAAACCAATGAAGTAGGAGGGAATGGTCACTTTGGAAAAGCAGTATGTTGTATCCCTCACCAGGACAATTAATTGAGAATGGATGCCGAAACTACTAGGAAGTCTATTGGGAAGAGGGCATTCACATGACCTCTAGAACACACAGTAATTGAAACAGGGCCATTTTATTTTCATAATGGAGAGATCTGGTGTCCACCTCCTTAATCAAAGGCTAAACTTAGCAACGCCTGCAGTGGGACATCCTGACAACACATGACACTTGATAAGATGTAAAAAAGTGATTATCATTCATAGTATTGACACAGGTTTTGCCCGAATAAAACCACAATGAAATAGATAAATTTAAAACACTGATATTTCATAAGACAATTAGCCTAGGCAGTTGATTGAAACTGATACTAATATAACTGATGTTCAAATAACATAACCATCAATGAAAATATGAATCTTGATTGAGTGCTGGAGATACAGAGATTGATCAAGGCATTTTGGCATAATTAGAGCTACCTGAATGCGAGCATTTATTAGATGGTTTTATATAACCAGTATTACTTTTCATGTATGATAATGGTCCTGTGGTTACACAGTAAAGTCCTTAGTTTCATCAATAGTTTCCAGAGAGAAGAGCAGATATCATAAATTTATAGTACTATTTTAGTTTTTTTCTCCACATTTATCAACCCCATGCCTACAATGGCAAACATGTCAAATATGCATGAATGAATAGTCATTATACTACATATTATATTTATATGTTGACTGACTTGCTCAAATGTAATATTTGGTGATGAAGATATGGCTCAGGGGTTAAGATCCCTGACTACTCTTCCAGATAACACTGGTTCAATTTCAAGAACCCACAAAAACACTCCAAACTGTCTGTAACTCTAGTTCCAGGAGATTTAATGCCCCCTTCTGGCCTCCATGGGCACTGCACACACATGGTGCACAGACACATATACATGCAGGTAAAATACTCATACACATAAAATACAAAATAAAATGAAAAAATATTCACATTATATTTATTGAAATGTAGTAATTTTCACCAAACCAGAGGGACAAATTATTTATAATCCTCTCATCAGTTTTTGTTGCTTTATAATTAGTGAAAACCATGTTTGTTGGGTCAGTGGTTGAGAACATTGGCTGCTCTTCCAGAGGACCTGAGTTTGATTCTCAGCACCCACATCATGGCTCACAACCATCTGTAACTCCACTTCCAGGGAATCCAACACCCTTCTTTGGTCTCTGAAGGAATTAGCCACACATGTGGTGCAGATATGTACATTCAGGCAGAGCATTCATACACACAAAATAAAACCAAAATGAAGTAAGTTCTATTTTAGGGATAAATTATTCATATTTCAATCAATTAATCCATAACCTGATTTTGGAGATGAACTGTTTCTATCTGAAGACTGATAGGAATTTATAAGACATGTGAACTCAGTAGTTTGTCCACTCACAGCTCTCACAAGAGTCCACAATCGATACCACTCTTAAACAATCTGTTCTACTTTTTCTCAAATACTAGTAAAAAATTAAATTTGTACCAGAGGTGGTCACATATGCTTCTAACCCTAGCACTCAGAAAGTTGAGGCAGAAGGATTGCTGAGTCTAAGGACAGCCTGTTATGCAGCAAGACTGTCTCAAACACACACACATACACACACACACACACACACAGACACACACACACACACACACACACACACACACACACACACAAATGAGAAAGGCAGGCATCCCCCTCAGGACAGGCATTTCCCACTAATCCTATGAATATATAGAATTAGCGGGTATTTAACTGTTTTTTAGAACTACTGCCCAAATAATTTAATTATGCTAACCAATAGTTAATTACACATTGAACTCATTTCTGTGAAGTAAAAGAACAAATAAACACAGGCACTATAACTTCCAACATTGCTAAATCTCCTCCATAGATGAGATTCAAGTTTGCTTATGCTACCACATCCTATGAAAGGCTATAAATATCCATCTAGGGCTGTGAAGTACAAGTTTAATAAATTATGCCACATGTATATTACAAGGCCAAAAACTTTGTGTTAAACTATTAAAATATACTTTAGTACCTTTGTTTAGTACTAGCGCGCGCGCACACACGCGCGCGTGCGCGCGCGCACACACACACACACACACACACACACACACACACACACACACACACAATACTCCTGTCTTGGTTCTTGCTCAGAGACACTATTTTCTAGATAACACAATCTTTCTTCTGTACAACTCTGTTCAAATGTCAGCTCTTTTAATGGAGTGTTCTTTGACTAATCTATTTAAATAGCAACTACTGGGCCAGTGAGAACTTACTGGGTAACGGTACTGCATAAACCAAGTGACCTGAATTCAATCGCTGGAGCCCATGTAGAGGTGGAACGAGGGAAGTGACCCTACAAAGCTGTCCTTGGACCCCCACACATGCACCACCCCACAAACCCACATAATAATAAAGTTAAAAATAAATAGTGACCATCCTTACTCTGTGTGTGATTTTATCCCTCCTTCTACAGTCTGGATCTTCCATTTCCCCTACACACCACATACTGAGAGCCTGAGCAATGGATTAGAGGGAGGGTCCAGTGGAAACAAGTCAGGTTGTTAATGCTGTGCCTTGGAAGGAGACAATAGGGTTGACGGTCCTTCTGCTTCCTGCCTACCACCAAGTGAGCAGCTGTGCTCTGTCATCCACTCCCCGCCATGTTACTGTGTTTTGTCACGGGCTCTAAAGGTAATGGGGCCAACGGGTCACAGCCTCTGAAAACTGAGTCAAACTCAATCTTTCCTCTTGATTTGACTATCTAAAGCACTTTGTCATTTTCACAATCAGCTAATACATCTTCTCCACATTATTTGTCATTTCTTCTATGTTTATTTATTTATTTATTTATTCATTGTATTTTTCACTAGAGATACACAGAACATGTATCTATATAGGATTAGCTAGAATATCAATGAAACATTTTTTAATTTAGACTTTTAATAGATCTAATGCCTCAGACAGAAACACTACTGGGGCCTTACTTAATATATGGTTTTGCATTTCAGATTCTGAATGTATAGGAATAAAGTATCTCTATAATTAAAAACAAAATAACTAAAAAAAGCAGTTTAGGCAAGCAAAGAGCTAGTGAAGAAATACTTCATTTACTAGATTGATAAGATACTGACAATGTTGGAAGGTGGGAATACAATTACATTATTTACAAATAATGATAATAATAAAATTCAATTTCTAAAGAGAAATTATAAGTTTTAAGCATAACCATGGTTTAGAAATTTCCTATACCTTTAATTAAAGAGAAGTCAGCTTTAAAAACTATCCTATTCATTTTCCCCATAAAAGATCATTGAGACCTGGCTGGGATTCAGCTCTGTGTCTCACTCAGCCCTCATCAGAGAAGCTGCCTCCCGCAGGAGACAGGAACTAAGACAGAGACCCACAGCTGGACGGTGTGCAGAGAGAACACTCAATTCTAAACGGGCCGTTTCCTCAAGCCCCTCCCCCTTCAGGGATCGGGAAAGTATGGGAAAGAGAGGCAGGAAGACTGTAAGAGCCAGCGGGGATGAGGACACCAAGGAAACGGGGCCTTCCTGACACAACAGTACTGGTGCACATAGGAACTCAGAGACTGTGACCCAGCTCCAAGCCAGATGGACTCCCTGTAAGAATGATAAACCACTGTTTAGAGATGCTGGTTACCAAGCAGAAAGGTCACGGCCATGACAGAACCCAGTATCAGTATCAGGGCTTTATTAGGAGGAAGATGGGGGTGGGGTAGGGGACGGGTAGGGATCAGAAGAACCAAGCCTGGGGAGACACAGAGAGAAAGATGGTGGGGGGAGAGAGAGAACAGAACACAGAGAGAGGGTGGGGTCTGCGTCAGTTTTTTTTTTTTTGTTTTTTGTTTTTTGTTTTTTTTTTTTTGTTTTTTTGAGACAGGGTTTCTCTGTGTAGCTTTGCACCTTTCCTGGAACTCACTTGGTAGCCCAGGCTGGCCTCGAACTCACAGAGATCCACCTGTCTCTGCCTCCTGAGTGCTGGGATTAAAGGCGTGCGCCACCACCGCCCGGCTCCGTCAGGCTTTTTAAGGGTTCCCGTGGACATGCGCAGGCAGGCTTACAGAGCTATACCATGTGTGCGCTGATTGCGTGACCACAGTCCGTGTACACATGTAGTCACCAGTGCACACTGATGATGTAAGACACAAGAGCCTTTGTTAATTCCTGAACTGCGCATGTGCGATCATGCCGCTAGAGAGCGGCAGAATCCTAACACCCCCACTACTGAGAGGGGAAGTGGACACAACCCCCATCCCTAATACAGAAGCTATCTTCAACTGATCACTGCTTGCTCAAAAAAAATTTATTTTCTCCAATGGAGTCTCACTGGGTATAGGAACCACACTTGAGGGCAGGCCCCCTGCCCAGCAGTAGATGGCCAACACAAAAGGAGCACAATGGTATTTTTGGGATATTTTGCGTCATAATGCTTTATTTGGGATTTTTTAAATAATTTATTTGTCTTTTGCTTTTCTATTACAGTTCTGATTTGATGTTCTTAAGGGTTTTTTTTTTTTTGTGTATGTGTGTGTCTGTGTGTCTCGTATTTCTTTCCTTTCTTTTTTCTCTGTTGGCCTGTTTGTTTTGTTTTATTCTTTTTTTTTTTTTTTAAATTGGCCTGTTTGTTTTCTAAAGAAAAAGAGAAAAAAAAAAACATGGAGCTGGATGGGTGGAAAGGTGGAGAGGACCAGGGAGGAGATGAAGGAGGGGAGACCGGGATCAAAATAGACATTTGAAAAAAATTATTTTCAATAAAAAAGTTCATTTGTAATTCTTAGAACTGCCTTTTCTATTACTTTTTAATTGTTTTACTTTCAAGTCTTAAATACTTCAGAATACCTACGAAAAGACTAAGATGATATTAAACTTCATAATGTTACTACCAAAGGCAGGGGAAGAAAATAAGGTCCCCCCCCCCAAGAGAAATAGGCTCAGGGATTATTAATTAGCAAAAATAAGAAACCCGATGAGTTCCTATTTTTCTCAAATTTAACAGCCATACATATGGAGAACTCATCTCCTCTACAGAGAGGCTAACACACAGAACAAGCACCTGCCCATCTCTCATCTTTACAGCAACATGGAGTGCAAGTATTTACTGGCTCACTCTCAGAAGGCCGCAGCACTGTTAGCAGCTCCACTTTTGAAGAGGACAGCAATTAAAAGCCCCACGGAACTTGTGAGTTGTTAGCTTTGTGAAAGGTCAGTGACAAAATTCAGAGTCTCAGGTCTGAGCTACCATTCAGAAAAATCCCTTGAAAAGACGATATTGCTTTATATTATATACACAACACGGATTTCTAAACAGGATGATGAAGCTAAGAGCATTTATTTTATTTTTTTATTATTAATTTTTTAAAAATTCATTTTACATACCAGCCACAGTTTCCCCTCCCGCCTCTCCTCCTGTTCCCTCCCCCACCTCCTTTCTACCTGCCCCCATTCACTCCTGAGAAAGGGTAAGGCCTCCCATGGGCTAAGCTGAGGCAGGACCGAGCTCCTCCCCTCAGCATTAAGGCTTGAGGGAGGCATCTCACCATAGGGAGTAGGTTCCAAAAAGCCAGCTCATGGGCCAGGGACAGATCCTGGTCCCACTGCTAGGAGCACCACAAACAGGCCAAGCTACATAACTGAAACACAATGCAGAGGGCCTAGGTCGGTCCCGTGTAGGCTCCCTAGCTGTTGGGCTAGCGTTGGTGAGCTCCCTCAAGCTTGGGTCAGCTGTCTCTGTGGGTTTCCTCGCCAGGATAAAGTTATACACTTAATCAGATTCATTCTCTTCTTGTGTCCCCACAGTGTTGAATGCCTGTTCCTGTTAAACTCGCTGCTGTCACAGCACTGTGACTTCTTGGCCTGCTGGATTCTCAGACTGGGAGAACATGAGGACATGCTTTCATGTTCAACTATGTGTCGAGCTGAGGCCCTGCACAGAACAGACCCCGTAAGCACTGCCCGATGAATTGCATGGACTAGTTTTTAGGTATAAGTATTTCTTTTTTTTAGCCAAGGAACAGCTTTCCTTAGAGTCTTTCTGCCAAAAATGCAGTGTTTCTGATTCTACTTTTAAAAAGTACAAGAACTGTGCAAAAGTCATTTTTAAATTGACTCTTTATGAAAATATATTAAGCACTTTTCAGAGAAAAGCTAAGAGAGAAATGCCATCACAATGAGCACACAGTCTCCTTATGAAGCGTCTGTGGCACAAACCTTCCACTTTATTTAAAACACTGACCAGTCACTCGATGTAGTCATTTGTAAGTTTCGCTCTTTCTCACCAGCCTGGCTCTCAGACTGCTAGGCAAGCTGCTGACTAAGAACACCCCGAAGGGCCATTCTTTACATTTCATTCATTTTTTTTTTTCATTCAAGGAAACAGCTTCCTGAAAACGTCTACTTCAAATTCTGGAAAATACAGATCAACATTGCCTTGACCTTGAGGTCTCTATCCTTACCAGAAGGTCTGGCTCCTAACCCAATTTCCATTGTTAGTTGATTACTTTCAATATTGATGGATATTCACTTCCAGAAAACATTACCAGTAACTTTTATGATATCATTGATACTCACTACTCAACCCGAACTGACTAAACCACAAAATGCAAAAGCATGCACTTAAGTTCTTCAGGGAAGCCTTGGGACTATTTTAGTACAGATTTAGTGGATGGTAACCTGAGTAAGAGTAAATGAAACCTTAATGTAGATAGTTCTTTTCCTACCAGAGCTTGTAGCAGATACATCTTCAGATGCTTAAAAATCACACTTTATTCTGCCATAGCTCTAATTAAGAATTACCTTGAGTCATAGTAACTTACAAAAACTATTATTTATGTCATAGATTATATTTTATTTTCTCCCTTGTTAAGGGGGAAGCATGAAGAGCTGTTTACTTGGTTACAGAAATGCCTACTCTAATTAGTAAATAAACTACTATTAAATTGTTATTTAAAAATTGTAGAATCATAGAATGGTTGCAACAAACACCAGTATGAAACGCGTGATGGCACTAGAGGTTTATAACTAGAAGGGGTGAGGTATCCAGGCACTGGTTATAACAGAAGATGAATCACCTAGTGCCGAGCAATTCAAGAGTGGCCGAACAATGATGGTATATTCATTTTCTTTAAAAACATGCATTTTTCTCAGAAAAAAAATTAAAGAAAATTTGCCTGAAAATTTGAGCACTTTGAAATAAATTCAAATATCACTTTATTTGCCTTATGAAATGAAAAATCTTAAAAGTTGTCAATTTCTGTTTAAAACTATAAAAATAGTAAAATGCAATGAGTGGTCGACAGTAACCTATATTAAGACAGTAAATGGTTTTCTTCTCCAGGTATGGAAACAAGGGTGAAATTACACCTGGTCAAAATAATTCGGTCATTTTATAAGCAACCCCCCCCCCCTTTCCTTTAGTCCTCAAGCTGAGTAAACTGATTGATTGCCTACATCTTTCTCTCCCTGCGGGCATTGTGCCAACTTACAAAGATACAGCACTTGGCAATGGCATGAATTATCCAGTCTTCTACTCTGGAATGATAGAACAGAACATGCTTTTGCCGTGAAATGATTCAGTCAGTACTCCTAAAAAAGCTCATTTGGAAATAATACATATGTACCAGAGGAATAAGAATTTTAACAAAGGAGATTCACTAAAGTTTAAGTCTTTGAATATAGTGATTTCCCTTTTGAAAATTTAGTGGTAAGTTAGAAAACTTTAAAAGGAGGTTCACTCATTAGAGTAATTCTGAATGTAGTCATACACCATACTTTTGTAACTTCTACTATACTGGAAGTCACATATATTTTGGTATTTAACTCTTTCTATCTGCAATAAACACTCTAGGTAAACACTAGTTTTTCATAACAAGATGAAGAAGGTCACTCAGGCATAAATAATGGAATATGTATCTGAATCCTCTTGGTTTAGTGCTACTAGAATCTCATGCATTGACTTAGATGAGAAAAGTCAAAAATACATAGAATCTCTATGCAAGTCATTCAGCATGCTTTTTGTTATTTTTGAAACAAGGTCCTGGACACAGACCAGGCTGGCTTCAAACTCTGTATGTATCCAAGGCTAACCCTCAATCTTTTTGTCTCAGCCTCCTGAGGACAGAATTTACAAACACATGTCACCATGCCTGGCAGCAAAATTTCTTTTAAAAAACCTTGTCAAAATCATGTTAATATAGGATTCTAAACCACCAACTAAGGAAGTTTGTTATTAAAAGCATTACTCATATTCAATTGAAAACCAATAATTCTTAAACAAATGATTTAGTTGGGGTCAGAAAATGAAGACTTAATAGAAGTAGATTAATAGAACTGAATTCTGTATGATATCTACAGGTCACATATAGTTTTAAATTAAAGTTTGAGTTCCTAAGTCATGCTACCTACATTTCATGTAAACAGTCACACAAGTCTCAGGGGCTACTATAAAGGACTATGCACATTTGGAGTTTAGGAAAGATGTCTAGGCTGAATATAAAACATTAGACAGTCAGCCGGGCAGCGGTGGCACATGCCTTTAGTCCCAGAACTCAGGAGGCAGAGCCGGGCAGATCTCTGTGAGTTCGAGGCCAGCCTGGTCTATAGAGCAAGATCCAGGACAGGCACCAAAACACAGAGAAATCCTGTCTGGAAAACAAAAACATTAGGCAGTCATTGGTATCCGACTTTGATTTAAAGTCATGCAGCTCCCAAGGATGCCAGCATATTCAGGGAACGAAACAGAGCTGAACTATGGAGGAATGGTCTATTGAGACCTGTCAGGAACCAGGAAGCATCTAGCATAAGGAAATAAAGAGGACAGGCGTACAAGATAAGAGAAAACCAAGAGAGTGTGGTGTCCGGGACACCATGCATTAAGAAGTAACCAAATGTATCAAACGCTGATGATCGGTCAAGTAAGATAAGGGGGTGGAACTGGCCCTGGGAAGAGCAGTGCCAGGGCTGCTGTTGAGCTTGAAAAGAACAGTTAGAAAAACCAAACTTTTAACAATGCAAAATGACTGGAAAGCTCTGCCTACAAACTTTCTGTGTGCTGCAGTTGGTATGAACGCTATCCTGGCTACGATAAAACCAATGAACATGTAACCAGCATATCTGGTGGAAGTCAAACTAAGTAAAACCAGGAACAATAAATACAGATTCAAAGGTCAAATGTTTTTAAGCCAAACAGGCTGCCAGCACCAAATAACAGGGCTGTTGCCCAGCATTAACCACAGGCCAGGAGAGGAATCAGTCTCCCAAAGTAACAGCGAAGGCTTCTAGAGACGAGACCCTGTCCCAGGTGTTCTCATTCGCAGTAATCCTGACATTCTTTCCCTGTTTAGCTTAAATATAAATTGCACATTATTTGTCCTACAAATAGAAAATTTTAATAGATGTGCATGGGCAAACGAACTAGTGAAGTTACAGTTCTTCACACAGTGGAAGAGGTAAGTCATATTTATTACTACTCCCTCATCTGAAGATACAAACAACAAATAAAAGCCAGTGGCAATGAAGTAAAACACAGAACACACAATACACCAATACAGATGAAAACAAGACCAGAACTTTGAAAGACTTAGGGGGATGGAGTGATACCCACAACACATGACGAATGGAGAGGTCATCACAGAGAGAAAAGGGGGCAACCCATCAACTGAGAGAGTTAGAACAAGGCAATGAGAGAACTCTGGGGGAGACTAACTATACAAAGGGTGGAATATGTCAAAGGTGAGCCCCAAGTTTTCACCAGGAAGAATGGCACCATGGGGTGAACCACAGACGCCTCTCTGAACACTCAAGGCGACATGACGCTCTGTCACATTCATGGAAACCAATTAGCATACATATCTTGCTACACATATGTGAGGATGAACATTTTCTGTCAGATTAGATTTTATATTTATTTCAGTCACACACATAATAGCTCTGCTCAACTTTTCCTAATCTTTACAATTTTACACTCGAACTTTCTATAAAAAGATGTTATAGGCAGATAACTTCACAAATCTTCAGAATATAAATAGCACAAATTAAGAAATAATTAACACATCAACTAGAAAGCTTTGGAAAAGGTAAATATCAGAGTATCATTAAAATATGAATTCACACTTTGGTTATGTTAGAGTTACATAGTTTTTATACTCAACAGAAAATTAGACCTTATTTAAAATTTTCCTACAGTTTAAAATTTCCAGGTGCATGATTTTATTTTTCATTGGCAATCAATATACCAACTGGACAAATACTGCAATATACTATGAATGCTTCTGAACAGAAAAAAACGTGTCAGCACAAAGGAAGTGACCGAAAAGTCAGAGCTTAGAGCAAATTTCCTATTTTGAACAGATGGGGGCAAGGTTGAAAGTTGTAAGGCTGAAACCATAGGTACCCCATAAAGATCGAATAAAATGATTTTTCTTAGAACATAGACGGCTAAGAAACAATGGGCAGCTACAAGCTCATCTGAATCTGCTTACTTAATGAGGAAAAGTCGGTAATCATAGTCTCCCTCCTAAGTTAGGAGGGATTTAGTGCTCCATGGTGATAGTCATGATACATGCATATCCCTGTGCATGATAATCATTCATGAGTGTTGACAGAAATGTTCTTAAAAGTAAGAAATTCCATGTAGAATATACTTTATCAACAGGGTTAGAAACAATTCAATTATAATAGCACTTATCACTATTATAAATGGAGGCTGAATCTGAATACTTACCTAGTAGATTAACACCAACCACTGGACACTTAAGAGCAATGCTCTTCGGGGGAGTGCAATAGGAACTCACATCTTTATTGTACAGATCAAGCACAAGTTTCACAGATTCCAAATACAGAGACAAAAAGTTAATAAATGGAGTCTCAGTTTGTGGATGGGAATCTAAATAATGATGTGTTAAAGGACAGATCCAAGCAATTAAGATCTGCTCAGTGATTAGGAAAATCCAAATATAAAATTCATCCCATCCTAGGACATTTTGTGTTGATTGGTGATTAGAGAAAGGATAAAGAATGACATGAACTATTAGCTTTGGAAGTAATTCTTGATCTCTAGTAGATTTGAGGGATAATTAAGAAGTCATGACCAACTGTCTGTCATATTCATATTCATCCTGGCTTTTTAAAATAACTTTAAAAATTATGCTAGTTACTGAATAAGCTACTATGGAATTAATGCTAGAAAATTAAAATGGTATCCTCTACATTTGACTACTTAATCATTTTAAAAGTGATTTCACACTGCATGCTACTATATTAGATTTCTAAAATCTTCATTAAAAACCAAGAAAATTAGGCATGATAACCTCCACTTCATATATGAAAATCTTTACAGGTTGTTCCCACTCCTCAGCTTTGAAGCTCCTCTCTTTTTAATATGTACTAATTTTTTTTTTAAGACTCAGTTCAGAAATCACTGGATATTTAAATTCTTTCTTAACTTGACCTGGGCCTCTGAGTCTGACTTAGACGTCCTTTACTGAACTACACTCATCTGCATTTTTTAAAATGTTTCTAACAACAACAGCAACAAGAAACTGCTGATTCTTTGAAAGCAAGGCCTTAAAAATAATTTATTTTAAGGTGTGGGGAATCAAATCCAGGGCCTCAAGCAGGCTAGCCACATACTGTCAACCACTGGGTTGTCCCAGCTTTTTAAGTTTTACTCTCACCAATCAGCACCAGCATACTGTCTGGCCAACTGCATGCTGTTTAGAAGAAGGTAAAATCCTTACGTGATTTGCTGAGCAACAAAGGCAGAACTGGAAAAGTCGTGGAAGTCCTAATTGGAAACTGGCTGCTCTACACATTACTGCATCCGTTTGCCAGTAAAAGTAACAAAATATTTTCATAGTAACAAACACCTTTCCTTCTGTTTTCATGACACCTACTATAGAAGGACACTTGCTTGAGGGCCATCAAACAGGGTTGTGCACAGCACCTCACATTCTTCATTCTTCCTGATGGTGTTTGGGAAGGCAGTAAACTCAACGCATGTTAGCAGATGGAGTGGTCGGTTTGGTGCTATTTCATCATCTGTGGGGCACAGTGTGGTCTTGCAAACCCATGTACCCTTAACACAGATTATGACATTTTGCTTTGGTTTTTAAGTATTTTATGGTCTTAATGCCACATTCCTA